CTTCCACTTCGTTACTTTCCCATTTTGACCCAGTGTTTTTCTGATGAGAGGTCAAGGCAAGAAATGTTCTTGTATTCTTTGAGATGTTATGCTGTACTCTTTGAGTGAATTTGATATGATGGCCCTTTTGAGAGAGACTCGCTTTTGTCCCACACCTTCTCCATTTCTTACATTCTTTCAACACACTATCAGGTCATACAGTGATGTTCCATAACTGATACAGAGATACAAATTAAACAAGTGGATACATTTCTCTGCTTCAGCTCTTCCATAACATAGAAAGTAATCAAGATGGGGAACCAGGATGATTGCCCCAATTTTACCTTTATGTGATTTCGAAAGTACATTGGCGTTGATAGATAAGCTTTTGTATGCCAGCCATTTGTGTACATTTGTATAATCAGCATTTTTTTTCAAAAACAAGTGTCAGTGCAGATGAAATGGCTAGATTTGCTAAACAAATAAAATCCAATCCATAAGGTAGATTTATTTTTTTATTAGTTTGTTTGCGGTATACAAAGAAGTTTAGTTTTGGGCAAATTTGAGGTGAGCATCATAATGAACTGCAGCTTCCACTTCGTTACTTTCCCATTTTGACCCAGTGTTTTTCTGATGAGAGGTCAAGGCAAGAAATGTTCTTGTATTCTTTGAGATGTTATGCTGTACTCTTTGAGTGAATTTGATATGATGGCCCTTTTGAGAGAGACTCGCTATTGTCCCACACCTTCTCCATTTCAAGATTGTGGATGGGCAAGCATTAGAAATTATTTTGTAACCTTTTCCAGACTGTTTAGCATTTATGACTATACACAGAGCTTCAGAACTTTATTGTGAGCAGACTATGATGTGCTTCTATAATCTGTGCGGTAAGAACTTCAATGTGATGGGGGGGGGCAGAATGAGATTTGTATGGGCAGGAATAACCAAAATCAGTATTAGGAGTACTTGCATTAGGGCACCTACTTATCCTTTAAGTTAATTGCTTAAACTAGTGGAGTGATTACTTTTTCACATAGGTACATCCTATGTTAGATGATATTATTTATGAAATAAATGAAACGAGCACCAAATTTTGATGTTATTGTTCTCTCAGACTCCCTTCATATATCGGTAAGACTCACATGCAACTAATAACATTCAGTGGCAAAGATATGCAAAACTCCAGAAAATCTAAAAGGGGGCAAATACTTCATTATAGAAATGTAGTATACATGTCAACATGGTTTTCACTTACATTAAAATATCTTCATTAAAAAATGAAGTGTTGAACTTCAACATTGTTGAAGTGAGGAACCTCACCCTATGAATGTTTGAAGAAACAAAGTCAACATTTCTTAGATTTTCAGCAATTTATTTGGATCTTGATGTCTTTAGCAAGTCTTACATTTCAAAGCATCCACAAGAGTTCAAGGAATCAGAGAAGCTGATGAGATGCTAGCAAGCTCACTGCCTGTAAACAGTTAACCCTGTCTGGGACATTAGTAGGCAAACTGGAGATGAAAGGGAAAGAGTTGCAGTGTGTAATGTCTAAAAATAAGTGGAAGAAATACTACATGGGAGAAGCTACTGATAGTACCCACTCCTTTAAGTATACACTTGTCTTAAAATAATTATTCATAAAAATATTTAAAACATCAAATGTATATTTTTTTAAAACCCAGAAATAGATCACATAACTAAAAACAATGAAGACCATATTGTTGGCTTTAGTTTTATTTTAAAAAAAACAAATGTACTAAATTATGCATTATCTTACTTGGAATTGTTTAAAGTTCTTTGGTCAGTTGGATGCAATACCAGTCATTCTTCTGCATGATAATGTTTCATTGCTTTTTCCCATAAATGCCAACTTGCATATATTTGATATTATAATTTTTCTATGGTTAGCCTTGATGCAGGATTATCCCAAATTGCTTTGGGGTTACAAGGAGACCAATAGTCAAGATTGCCTGCTTGAATTATAAATCTCATTTATATGTGTGTTTGTGGGCTCCTCTTTTCCATCACAGCAA